TGGGTGGTAGGGATGAAAAACAATAGTATGTTTTCTCTAATGCACCTTCTGCCCCTCAAAAACTAGAAATTTCAGATATCCCTAATTTTTTTTAACTTTCATGTTTTTATTTGAAAGCAATTAAATGTTGTAATTTAGTTCATCTGAATCTTAGTCATAATACAAATCAGTTTGCCTTCCGGAAAACGATATATCCGTCCCAAGAAAATATCCACCGCATATATTCAGTGTTTTTTCTAAATATTTTTTTTTTAAATTTAAAGTAATTAAACGTTATAAAATATTTTATATAATTTTTATGGAGTCGGGTAATGAAAAAAAAAATTCCCATTCTTTAAGGATGATGCTTCTCCTCACCCTGAAAAGTTAATTACTTTCTAGACGAAACTTATACAAATATTTTGTTTTCAATTTTCTAATTCATAAGATATTAAGTACAGATTATTACCCCTTTATTTTTTTAGCAAATCCACGCCCCAATTAAACATTAAAACGTCTCTTAAATTTGATCCATTAATGAAAATAAAAGATTCGACTTCTGAGAGAAAGGTCATTAGACAATGCCAACGTTCATCTATCAAGAGGTACTTCAAGATTAAATCAAGTTAGCATGTCTTACATACTAGTGAATTGATGTTTAATTTTCGTAGTGGTAGTTACGCCACAATACTCCCCTACAAGAATTTTATTTAGAATTCGATGAAAGGATACCACTAGTTGCTGTATTTGTGGATGACCGGGAGAGACGAAGTAAGGTCACCGGTTTTCGAGCTTTAGCCATGAGAGCTGTATTAAGTTCATGGTTGTGTGTGTAGTCACTTCTGTGTTGCTATTAGCAGTCGAGTGTATGCAGGATTCCGTTGTGTATAAATGAGACTGAAAAGCAACAGCGCGAGGAGAACGATGACGCAGTCACAATTAGCAAGTCAACTATTCAATGTGGACCATCCATCGAAGTAGGCGTGATCATATCACGTCCGCAAGTCACCTATGTGGTGTTTGTATCAAGAAAATTACAAGCTACCCAAAAATAGAATTTTATTTATTATTTCACAAGTCACCTAGATATCGTATTCGCAAGCTCTCCAGTTTCAGTTTTTACTCTTATATATAATTTCTGAGTCACGTTTTGATTGATGTCCAATCATTAAGCAGTTGAATGAGTGTTTGCATATCAGGATGCATTACTCACGTGTTTTAATTAAAACTTTCCCCTCAGGTCCATCAAAAAATGATTTCTGAGAGGCACCACAGACTCACTGAGAGTGTTTCCCCAATGCACTATAATCCCACCTGGTTTATTTAGTAATCCTTCTTGATTAATTTATTTCCATTTCCCCTTAAAAAGATTTATTTTACAGCTTTTTCAATGATTAAATATTCTGATACAGAAGCAAGTATGGTAAAAGGGTATTTTTATTAATTTTATTCCGGGAATTAAGTATATTACCAGTATTTATGATACATATTTTAATATTTGTTATAAATTTGTGTCCTCACGACAAAGTGACCTAATTGACGACGCTCAATTCTGTTAGAACCACAAGTTGCTATATCGAGCACTGACAATGGTTTGAGATAAATAGACACGTAAAATAACGTAAACAGTGTCGATACAATTACTAGTCTTATCTTTTTTGACATTTCAGGTGAAAAAACTACAACTAATGAAATGATTAAAGACTGCGGCAGCAAATGCCAACCCGCATGTCGGTGAGTAATAATTGGGAAAGTTCAAAGAAAATTAAAAATGAAAATTATTCTTTACATGAAGTTCTCTTTAAGGATATCTCATCACGTTTTAGACAAAAATTTTACTTTTCTTAATTCACTATTAATTTTTTCCTTTTTTCATGTCTTTAGTATAGTATTAATTATTTTGCATTTACTAGCTATTTTTAATATAATAATAGATATATTGAACTTTTCCTTATTTTTAAATTATTATTAGTTTGTATTTTTTTTCCTATTTTAAATAAAATAATATCAATTTTGTTTTTTTCTTCTCTTTTTATTTTGTATTTTTTTCTTTTCTGAATTAAATAATAATTATTTTGTTCTTTTTTCTTATTTGTAATTTAATATTAATTATTCTTTTTTTACCTATTTTAAATTTAATATTAATTATTTTGTACTTTTTTCCCACCTTTTATTTGATATTAATTTAAAACTCGTACGTTCCATAAATCAGTAACAAATTTTATTCGAACTCTTAGAAGCATTTTAAGGAGTTTTAAAAACACTTTGCTTCATTTCTAGAATAAATACAGTTTTTGGTAGCATTTATTTTTTTAAAAAAATGAATAAGTTTCGAATATTAATCATGTGTGATTTTATCATAGTATGATAGTAAACGAGTTTTTCTCGATGAAAAGAATTATATTATGTTATTCTATAGACCATTTTCGCCAACATCGCGTCAAAGTTATTTTAGTATCTATCAAGTTTACTTTAACACAGTAATTGATTAAAAAGAAATTGACAAAATAAAAAAAATAAGTGAATGTGTGCAAAAAAATTCGACATTGAAGTTTGAACTATTTCCAAATTTATTTTCAGATGTGGCATTAATGCTCAACTAGATAATACGTAACTACCTGAAATTAAATGTGTAAAGATCGATATGAAATGTATAAAGATCCAAATGTATAAAGATCGTAGTCGATTTTTTGGAATTTATTATTTATCATAATTATCAAGTATCATCTTTTTGATTTCCTGCCTTCTGAAATTTATTTTTAATATTATACAATAATTTTAGTTCGTAAAATATTACGATGTGTGATTTCAAAAATAACTGCTTTATCAGATATAAAGGTGAAGGCGTAACTCTTATCCGTAAACTCCTTAGGATGTAGGTCGGTTACAATTAGTCTTATCAGATATAAATTAAAATAAAACATTTTTTCATGATTATAAAAAGCTATTTTTTTAATTATGCATTCTCAAATATCTCTTTTCAAAAACATTTAGTAATACACTGAGTAAAAACATACGGCGTAAACTACTAGAATATGGTAAACTTTAAAACGTTTCTGGCTCTATGTAAACAACAAAATATTCCGTAATTTTTCCCGAAACGCTTTAGTAATAGTTTTCGTAAAACTATCAATAAAATATGATTTTAAAATATGTATTACATTTTGATGAATGTGATTAAATTTGGTTATTTTATTACAGTGCCGTAGAGCATGCCATAAAAATAATTTATTCGTTTAAATTTACTTTTCAGTTTTGAATTTTTACTAAATGTATGGTAATAAAAATTGTAGTTTGAGAACAATAAATTCTGGTAAACTGTTTCTGTATATATGGCGGAAAAAATTAATGTCAGTTTAAATATCGCATACTATGGTTTCATTAAACAAAAATTATGCTGTTTTTTCATTATAACTGTCATTACCATACATTTCAGTAATTTCAATACAATTGTTTTTTAATTTCAAGAATTGTAATACATTTGTTCTTTTTTATTAATGTTACCCATGTATCATTAAAACTTCTTTGTTTTTCATATTAAATCCTGGTTATGAAGTGAGCAGACATATGATGTTAAATATGACGAAATAGAATTTAGTACACGTTTGGTAAATATATATGTAGTTTAATTGATTTAAACATGCCTGATTTTAATGCATGATATTAATTAAGGTTATTAAATTTTATTGAACTTTTTAATTAACATTAAAGCATTGGTAGTTTGTTATTTTTATTATTCGTAAGGGTTGGATGTGCCGAAAACTAAACTATAAGTTTACATTGATTCATAATAATAAAACACTTAATAACAAACCACATTTTGCATTTACTGCTTAAAAAAAGTGTTGCAAAAAAAGTAATGTTTAAAATATTTTTGACATTAATTTAATTATGATTATAATTTTAGAGATGTGAGCTTACTCCGCTTTAAGTAAAAAAAATTTTCGAGTGGTGAAGAAATTTTAACTAACTATTTTTAATTTAGAATTTTTTAATTTCAGAAATTCTTCCACCTATATATTTCGAAAATTTAAAATATCAAATAAATTGCAAAATTATGGCAGTTATCTCGCGGGGTCTTTTTTAAGGTAATAGTCTTTATTCCGCACGTTTTATTATTTAACTCGCTACAAATTTATTGAATCTTTAGCAGAAAGCAGTTGGCACCACTGTAATTTTCTAATTTAAACAACACCTAATTCAAAGAAAGAAATTGAATCGTTTTAAATCCGCATGAGGGGTAAGAGTATATGTCGCACTTGAGCTACGTAATGGGCATTTGGCAACGTTCTGGGAAACATCCGTGATAATGATCCGAGGACATGCCTAGACAGAGAGATAGACTCTTTGCTTTAGGCCTTTGGTCCCTTTGCAGGTTGATTGTAGACACTTACCTGTTGAAACCATTTGCCGAAGATAATGATATTTGGATTCTGTGATCTACTAGGAAACGTCAGACCATATTAATTTTTTTTTCACACTTTTTTTGATGCGGCAATCTATTCAAAAATAAATACATGGCATTCTTATTTTCTTGTGTCCCATGCCACACTATTAGTTTAGAAAAAAGAGTATGAGATGTTTTAATTTTTAGTTCCTACCCGTAACCAAATATAAGTACGTTTGAGTATCGAATTTGAATAAGTATGTATCGAATCTATTTTGAGTATGTGATGAAATTAAAAGTCAATATTGCATATTCAATTTCGAACGCCTATTTCTCTCAGTGTAACAACTGTTATTCTCTATGTCTCTTTCGCTATCTAGCTTACCGTATTGTTCCATTCACTTTCCTGTACTTTGGTTTCTCAGATTTCGATGTCTCTTTTGTATTTTCATTGCTGAAGCATTAATTATTGACCCCAAAATAGATCTAATTCTTTATCCTATTTTTAAATTATTCTAAAAATTCATCACAAGGGTGATCTTTATAGAACACCCTCTCTGTAATGAAAAAACTCAAAGAAGTAAACTTAAATTTATCTGTGTTCTAAATTAACTTTAAAAAAAATTCGTTTTGAATAATCAGTGCTTTAATATTTCTTTCAGTGCGATCAAGATGATATAAATTGCAGGTAAGCTCATTAAGATTCACATGACTATACTTTATTATTAACTTTATGAACTTCATAATCAACGAATTTGATTAAAAATTTCCTTGACTTTTGTTGTTCTCGTAGTAGTTTTCTGATAATAGTATTCGTGGTGGTATTCTGGTAGTTTTTGACGATAATTTTTATTTAAGTTTGAAATGAAAATGAAAATCACAAACATTAAGTTTATTTCATGAAAATAATTTCATCTCCTATAGTCGTCTTTAAACTCCTCCTTTTTCCCTTCTTCACCTTCACTGTGAAAAAAAAGGTTTCAGGATATTTTATTATGCACCGCGCTTCTGTTTCGGCAGGAACATTAAAAAATCACATTGAAATTTACCTAAATTCTTTCATTATAGATTGTGGTAAAATAAATAATTAAATATTGCTTTATTAAGTAAATGTTGTAATTGTCGTAAATGTTGTGATTTTATCTGACCTTTGAACATAGCAAAAAAAAAAACATGTCTTCGGTAAAGCTTTGAAAATTTACTAAATATGTGATAATAAGGACTACTGCCTTTTAATTAAATCGTAACCATTCGAACATGAAAATTACCGAATGCGTAATTTAAATACCATACAACTCAGTTTTATTACCAGAATTTATGTTTCTTTCATTTTTTATGCTGAAATGATATTATATTACTAGTTCAGTAAATAAATGTACCATAATTTTTTTCCTTCATGTGCATGAGTTTTTTTTCGCCTCCCTGCACAAGCAGTGGTTTGTTAAATTTCGATACCGTATTTCTTTCCTATTAAAATATTAATTTGCTACTCTTAATATATATGCGTTATTACTCTGCTTTTGACAATATGAGTTATTACTCTTCTTTAACATTATATATGCGTTATTATTCTACTTTTGACATATGACATACTTGATGCATATATTGTTATTGCGAAATATTCTTCGCAACAACAATAAAAAATATCTAAAAAATAATTCTTAAAGAAACAATTTTTCTGGTTGAAAAACATTGTAGATATTTGTCCGAATATGATAATTTTTTTTCCAACTACGTTGTTAGATAAATAGATTGTTAGATAAATAGATTTTTAACTGGAAAATATACATCGGGGCCAGCTTTAGAACCTTCTTCTTTTGAGATATTTCTGAGTACCTTATCCGTTTATTTAAAACCACATCTTACTGTACATTTAATGCAACGACATAGCTTTTCAAAGTATTCAGATCCTTCTTATCAGATGTTAGAATTTATCGATGCTTTAAAACGTTTCATAAAGACAGACACATTTTTCTCACTTACTAAAAAATTTCAAAATTGAAATTAAAATTTTGAAAAAAAATCTTTTGTCATGTTAATTAGCAGGTAATATAAATTATAAATTACCGAATAAAATATTTTATAAATTTAAGTCAATTACAAAACTGTTAATTTAACAATTTATTGTTTACATGCATTCATCTAATAAATACTTATGAAATTCATATTAAAAACGTTGCATAAAATTTTCATTCATTTATTCTAATGTACATAAATTGGACATTTTTGTTAATGCAAATTCAAAAAGAAACCTCTCTTATTTATTAAGAAGATGGAAAATTTGTGAAACTTACATTCACATAATTTAATAATTAACGCATTTTTAAGATATTCATTATAGATATCTTGCTATAAACTGATTGCTAAGAATAAGTACTAAATTAGATAAAACTTACTTTTTTCAATGTAAGTCTAATTAAGATATTTTCTTCAGGAAAAGCGATGTATTTCTTAGCGTATCCTTCAGAAAGTTCCAATTGTCAAAACACATATTTGAACCAAAGTATAAAGTAAGTATTGGAGTTCCTATCGTAAAGTATATCATAAAAAGTTGAGTGTCATAATTAGTATTAAAGTAAAAGTTGGAGCAAGTAAAGAAATTCGAACAACTTAAAAACGTTAGTTCTGGTTTGTTTTTTGAATAACATTTAATATGTTACGTCATTCGTGCTGTCAACTTTTACGTTGAGAAATAAAGTAAGTTTAAAATACAAAAACGCTCTCTTTAAGTAAAATTTACTTTTCTTCCTATTTCGTCGAATTCAAAATATTGAGGCTACGAAATACAAAGTATAATCAAAACCACAAGAGTATGGTAAAATTTGCAGCTTTACTGGCTCTTTGGGAACACCAAACAGCTTGGTAATTTCTACAGAACCGTTTTGGTATCAAATCTGGTAAAATTAATTGTAATAAAGAGTTTGATTTTAGAAGAAGTGATAAAATTTGGTAACTGTATAAATACCTGGTAATTTTATTATTATGCTTTAGAACATTCCTTAGAAACCATTTGTTCCATTAAATTTAGTTTCAAACTAATTAGCATATTTGAGGTCACCACCTTGAGCCATAGAGCGTTGAGTCCTAGAGCTTGAAGATCCAATCATTGAATCAAAAGTTATTGAGGGTGGTCCGCTTTTTAGAGGACACTGTACAAAAATACATTCCAATGACTTGTCAATATTTTATTTTTTGAAAAGTTTTCTTTATGGATTCGCATTTATTGGGAAATAATATAATTTAAGTTTTGAGTTAGAAAAAAAACGATGGCAAATTATAACATCTGAATGCATTTTATTTCTTTTGTGGACTAAAAAATTTTAATTCAGATATATAAGCACAAGCAAAAATAATAAAAGGAAATATGAAAAATTACCGAGACCGGCTGGGAGTTTTCATTACATGGAAGTACAATTGATGGTTCAAAATTGTTACAATAACATTACTCAATAGAGGGATGCATTAAGATGTTGCATGATAGTGAAAACCTAATTAAACATTTCGAGTTCATCGAAAATTATCAGATTTAGTAACGACACTCTTTCCAAAAATAACAAATAAAGTTGAATTAGTAAATACAATTTCTTTTCAAAACGTGAATGTTGTAAAATAGTAATTATGTTGGAAGCACAAAAACTAGACACTCTACTATATATAATAGAATGTAAAATACTTATATTCATGCGTATATTTTTTTTACAAATTTTATTTTTACAGAGTATTGAATTGTTCAGTTACATAGGAGGTTACATGGGAATGTGGTTGGGCATCAGCCTCGTGTCGATATTTGATCTCTTAGAATCATTGTGCTACTTGGTCTACTATCCCTTCATGCCCAAGAAAGTTTTCAAAAATCGAATTTCTTGAAGAAAAGAAATCATTGAAATGTCAATTTGAAAACAAAAAGAAGCAAAGCATCATCATAATATGAAGCATGCAGTTTGCAAATGCATTCATCATTATTTCTCTATTTGTAGAAATATAGAAGATTATTAACTTTTAATAAATGCGTAATAAAATCTTTTACGTATTTGATTCTTTATTTTTCATAAGAAATGTGTTAAAAAGAATGCAATAAATGGAAATATTATTATCTTTTAAATCAAAAGGCTGTTTGCGTTTCCCATCTATCGACATACTTTTAATAAATGAACTAGTTAATAAATTTTGGGTGCGTAGAAGATGCATATTAATATTTTTTCAATGCCAGATCTTAAAACTAAAATTCATTTTTATATTATAACTAAATAGATAAAACATAAAAGTTGGTCAAAAGGTAAATAAATTGAAAATGTGCTGTCTGGATTGAAATGTAAGTGGTTGATAAGAAAATCATAGTTTCCATGAGATGATATTTTTCACTAAACAAAGTTACGAATGAAATGTATATAAAACCGGTTACCTATTGCTCTGAAGCACTTATAGCAAGCTCAAATGACAGCTTTGGAAACGGCCGCCACAGTGCGTCCGATGTTAAGGCTTCGGCCATTCACAGCGAACCTGCACTTCCGATCCAAGATGTATGAAGTGTGCCGGAGGGCACTACTCATTCCAGTGCAAAAAGAGTAAAGATACAACAGCTACATGCTTCAACTTCCAAAAGGACCATACTTCAAACTTCTCTGGGTGCGAGGCCCGCCCCAGGAGAAAAAGATTCACCAACAAAGCCTGAACTACAGCAACCTCATCTCATCGTTTGGTTACTCTAATGAAAGAGTTACAAGAACTTTTGAAAAATCAGGAGGCACTCTGCCTTCTTCAGGGGAATACCCCATCCCAATGATGATTTTTCTTTACTGCAATCCAGGTTCAACATCTACAATGGACTATAATTTTGTAGATATCTTACAAATATCTTGTGAACTTAGCACAATCTACTTTATGAACTACTAGATTCGATGAATCGGTTAGAAGCGCTTAATGCCAAGATCTAACCCATTTCCAGCGTTCCAGCGTTGGAGACTGCTCAGAACCATGCCTTGAGACAAATTTTTGGAGCTATTTAAACAACCCCAATTAATGCTATGCTGTTGCTTACGAAGAATAAATCTATTGAAGTAATTATTCAGTATAAAACTTTATGCTTATATGAAAAGCTAATTCGTCTGCCTTCAAACAATTATTGAAGAAAGTATAACAACCACAACAGAAGACTAAAAACTCAAGAAGATTTTATTCATAAAGTGGTAAAAATTAGGTAAAAATTCAGCAACCCTGGTAATCGAGAAGTTATACCTCTTCCTCTGAACCCTTTATTCCCATTGGCGAAGGGTAGAACCGACCTTGCACTAGTGGCACGGAGGAAAGAAATCACCGAAGCAGTTTTAAATGCCGAATGTTGGACATGATTAAAAACTCAGCATTTGGAGCGAAGCATCACTAACCGATTCATCTTATTCTGTGAGACAGNTATACATAAAGTCATAAATTAACTCAATTTAAGAGGGGTAAGAGAGACTCCATTTTCAAGGAGTAAGGTTAGGATCACATATAAATTATTAAAATACTGAGATTATTTGCAAACTGAGATATAAACAACAAGTAATTATAAAAACACGAGCAGAAAATAATAGTACTATGTACAGATATTTACATAATATACAGATAAACAGATATTTATATGGAGCATAGGAGATAACATCAAGTTGAGCAGTCTGATATGAGAATAGTATAGGAAGTCTTTCTCTGTTAGCACATCAACCCAGTCGTGCCGGGTTGCTCGCTATGTGATTTAACAGGTATGTGGCTCGCCCCGTTCGGACCCTACAGGGTTGCTCCTTCTCCGGGTTCGCCACATCTCGGTGTTAAATTCTGTGAGGGTTTGTGTTGTAATGTTGTTGTGATTAGATTTTCCAAAATTTGGATAAAAGTCAGTGGGTGCGATTGTATTTTTTCTGAACAATTTTCATTTTATTTGAGTTTTCGACCAAACACAATTCCTTTTTGTGGTGAAGTGGAGGCGATTAGAACTACTTCTCAACAACTATTATCAAGAATGGATGACGTCGAGAATGTCGTTATATTTGTCGACTGTATCTCGGCAATCCAAGCAGGAACATCTGTTGATTTTTTGGACTCACTTGGAATTAAAAGTTGTAAAGAGAATTTTGGGATAATTTTGTCATTAAAAAAGAATATTGTGTTACAGTGGGTTCCTTCTCACAGTAATATCTATGGAAAAGAGAGGGCAGATCTTCTTGCTAAAAAAGGAGCTGGTATTTTACAGAGCTCCCAGAGATAAACTCCTTTCACTTCCACAAATAGAATAATTATAAACACTATAATTAAAAGTCAGGAAAATAATTTAAATGAACAAATTGGTGACAAGGTCTGGAGGGAGACTCTGAATATGATTCTTGTTTACCCAAGACGCAATGTGGTAGCGCTGCCTTTAGGTTGGAAACCGGACACGACTGCCTTGCTGCTAACCTCCATAGACTTAATTTCTTTTCCGATCCAAACTGAGTCTTGTGCGGGGAGGACTCCCCAATGAATGCTAAGCATTTGGGGGTCTACCCCTCAGCCCCTGGCAACATCTATGACAGATACTGGAATGCTAGGGAACAGTTGCAGGCACTTCTAACTGATTGATTTTCTGCTTATATTTCTATGTTGATATTCTATTTAATGTTTCTTTGCTCTAATTGTTTCTGCATTTCGAATGTCTTAAAGTTTTCAAATTGTTGTTTAATATGTTTTTATTCCTTATGCGGCTGTGCGGAGTGTTTTTACGCGCCAGCGAAGGACGCATAGCAAGTGCTGCTGCAATTTTAAAAAATGGAAATTTTAAAATTAAACAAATAACCTACTGGCATAGCAAGCCATTCAGTAACTTTCAATACCATATATGTTTTTAACTATTTCTCGAAAAAAATGTAAACATTTCTAATATTTCCTATTATATTTCTATTTGTAAGAAAATTTATTTCAATCAAATTTTAATAAGAATGAAAAGAAATTTTTTGATATACACTGTTTAAAACAATTAAATGATATAGTAAGTCTTGTATAAAGTAATGGTTCAAGCAAATTTGTTTTGTATCAAATGAAAGAAGAGAGTCACAAATGTTTCAAACTTCGCAGTTTCCAATTTTGAGGTTGATGCCGAAGATGACTCTTTAGCGACAACGAATTTGATTTGTCTAATAGTCCCAAACTCTGGCTCTATTGGAGATGACTTCATGTTAATGGACGATAATCGCAGGCCACATCGTGCTAACTTGGTGAATGATTTCCTTTCGGAGGAAAGAATCATACGAATGGATATTTCAGCGTGTTCTCCGGACATGAACCCACTCGCACATGTTTAGGACATTCTAGGCAGACGAATTTCTGGACTCCTATCCCCATAAACTCTCCATGAACCGGAAAGAGCTCTTCGGATCCGTGGAAACCATACCCCTTGCTAAATACGATTTTTTTTAAGGAAACATCTTTATTTCATTTATTTTTCTCATATGCACAAATTGTGTTTGTTTTTTCCCTGTTGTAACCGACTGCACAATAAAACGCATTTTTTTTCTGCCAAGCAAATTTCATTTTTATCTCATATACCCAGCTACGTCAGTTGTTAATACATCAATCGTTCAAACAATTCTCCAGGTGTAAGATAAACCTCAATATCCTTTAATTGTTTTGAGCAGTGAATGATAATTTATTTTTCATCTTAGGACATATTGATGATCTAGAACAGGGGTCTCTATACTTTCCAGCCTTAGGGCCATACTGATTACTCCAGTAAGTTCCGAGGGCCAAAACCATATTATCATTGTTGCCGGTGGTAAAAAGTGAAATTGTCCACTGATGAAAAAACAAGTCCGAAAAAGTACGCAACGTTTAAAAAAGGCTGCTAACCGGACTAAAGTCCGCAAAACGGCAACACTGCATATTATTAATTTTCCTGTCATCATCTGTAATTTCTAGATTAGTCGTAGAGAACGAGCCATGAGGAGTAACGTGACACGACATCTGGTGGACACAGGCGGAAATAGGTAGTACCTTCTATCGCTAACAGATGGCGCTAATAGCACGTACTGAATAATCTCGTTGGTTCGAGAAAGTTCTGGTGTCTTCCACTCACTTCTAGATGGCAGTAATTGGAATATATAAGAAGGCTAGTGGCGCAACCACAAGTCAGTTCCTATGACACTGTTGTGAAATAAAATAGCGCGTACCTCTTTAAGACGTGTTTGTGCGTGTTTAAGTTTAAGACATCTTTGTAACAGTATTTTGATTTGAATTGTTGCTTTTGTGTGTGATTTAGTAGTATGGAAAAGAAGCGAAAAATTGATAGTGAATGCAGAAAATTCAGAGATCAGTGGAACATTCAGTGTTTCGTAATTGAGTCCAGTAACAATGCGCTATGTTTGATTTGCAATGAAAGCATAGCCGTTCTCAAAGAATATAACATTAAACGTCATTATGAAACAAAACATTTTCGAAATTACTCAAAATATACAGGAAGTTTGCGGACAGAAAAATTCGAAGCTATGAAGCGCGGATTGAAATCGCAGCAATCTTGATTTACAAAACTCAAAACTGAGCAAGAGGCTGCAACTCGTGCCAGCTTTCGTGGGGCTCTTGAAATTTCGAAACGTGGAAAACCATTCACCGATGGAGAAATGATCAAAGAATGCATAATTGCAGTAGCCGAAGAAATGTGCCCTGAAAAGGTAAATTTATTAAAAACTGTCAGTATGTCAGCAAACACTGTGGCTCGAAGGGTAGAAAACATCGCTGAAAAGATATCCTCTCAACTGTTCGACAAAAATGGACATGTTGAGTGGTTTTCTTTGGCCTTGGATGAGTCAACGGATGTGTCAGATACTGCTCAGGTGTTGATTTATATTCGAGGAGTAGATAAAAGCTATGAAGTGCATGAAGAACTTCTTGATATGTATAGTATTCATGGCACAACTACTGGTACA